CGTTGCCGGCCACCGAATCCCGAATCCAGACGCCTTACCGCACCGCACCGCACCCACTCTGTTTGTTTGTATACGTTCTGTTGATAACACTCCTTAACTCTCTGTATCCACCACGCTCATTGAACTACATCACTTCGGACTCGGACGCATACCCACGCACGCACGCACGCACGCACGCACGCTCTTTTTTTTTTTTTTTTTTTTTTTTTTTTTTTTGAAACCTCTTTTATATCTGAGTTACGTACCCTACCTTCCCTCTATCTCCCCCCCCCACGCACGGGCGCTCTTTTTTTTTTTTTTTTTTTTTTGTATCTATCTAGTGAAACATCTGTTATATCTGAGTTACGTACTCTACCTACCTGCTATATCCCTCCCCTACGCTACCGCATCCCTCGGGCTGTTCTATTTCTATCTTACCCATCCATCCATCCATCTACGCTATCGCTATCGCTATGCCGTGTGGTGCGCGCCCCCCTCCCTCCCTCCCCCCTCTTCTCGTGCGGTCCGGTTTAGGGTGCAAGGTGCAAGGCGGAATGGGCAAAGACGAACGGACGGACGGACGGGAAGGGAAGGGAGATGTATATTATTATTACATATACGATTCGCTTTGCTTGGAGATTTTGATTGACTTTCTTTTTTTGATTTTTTGGTGAGAGGCCGGCTGGGTGGTAGTCACTGGTGTGACTAACCCTCCTTCTCCCCCCCCCTCCGCCCTTGTTGCATATTTGGTTAATTGTCGTTACTGTTACACTACCACAATGTATGAATGGAAGAAGAAAGAAATAGATAATGTATGTATAGATAAATAAAGAATGTGTTGTTGGGTTTTTATTTATTTTTATTTTTATTTTTATTTTTTATTTGGGATGTTTGTGGGGGGTTGCGTGGTTGGTGATTCGGGGGTGAGAAGTTTTACTTGGGGGGGGCGTGCGACGATCTGATCTTGGTCTTGGTCTTGGGTCTTGGGTCTTCTTCCAGGGGCCCACGCCCACACCACGCCACGGCTGTGGGGATGAATCGGAAGAGAGAAGGGAAGAAGGAAGGGACGCGAGGGGGTGGGATGGGATGAATGGAAGGAAGGAAAGAAGAAAGAAAGAAAGCTAGCACTGAAGCGGAAAAAGCAGTATGAGTATGTATGATGGTACTTTATACATGGATTCCGTGATCCATGGAAGAGAGATGCGAGATATATGCTATAACCAGCTACGACAGGGACACGGGCCCGTCCGTGTCCGACCGTGCGTGCCGTTGTGGGATTACAGTGCAGGGACGGATACGGTGACGGTGACGGTGGCGCATGGGTGTTGGTGGTAGTGTTGTGTCCCCCGGTGAGTCATGCGCGCGTGCGTGCGCGGGATCAATAGAGCAAGCAAAAGAAGGAAAGAAAGAAAGAAAGAAAGAGAAAACACCTCAAATCAAGAGATTGTCAAGTATGAGTCGACCCAGGTTCGAACTGAGGACCTTCTGTGGTATAGGACGCCAACGATCGTTGGTGTTAGACAGATGCGATAACCAGCTACGCCATCGACCCCATGCGGAGGGGTAGGAATGTGGCGCATATATTGTTGGGTGGGAGGGGAATATTTGTAGAGCACGAAATTATTTGGGGAGGGGGGGAGGCAAAAGGTGTTATGAGTCGACCCAGGATCGAACTGAGGTCCTTCTGTGTACGGTAATACGTCGTTTGCAATGTAAGACAGATGCGATAACCGGCTACGCCATCGACCCAT